TTTCTTTCTTTTTTTTTTTTTTTGAGACAAAGCCTCAAGCTGTCGCCCTGGGTAGAGTGCCATGGCGTCATAGCTTATAGCAACCTGAAGCTCTTGGGCTTAAGCATTTCTCTTGCCTCAGCCTCCCAAGTAGCTGGGACTACAAGCGCCTGCCACAATGCCCAGTTATTATTTCTTTTTTTTGTAGTTGTCATTGTTGTTTGGCAGGCCCTGGCTGGATTTGAACCTGCCAGCTCTGGTGTATGTGGCTAGAGTCTTAGCCACTTGAGCTATAGGCACTGAGCCTGATTTTCCTTTCAAATATGTGATTTGAATCTTAATTTTTGAGTGGGCATATTCAGATTACATATTATGGTCATTTTCCTAATTCATCAGTTAGAAATAAGTTAATCTCTTATTTACATTTCTTTGACTATATTAGCCATCTTTTTGTTTTCATATTCTGGGCAAGCTTTATTACCCTGGGTGGAGTAGAAATCCTCACATCCTCAAGGGGGCAGCAGAGAAAGCCATTTGTAGCCTAAAGCAAACCAATAAGCCCAGTTTCTGAGGGAGTGAAAACTCTCTCTGAGGTCTGTGTTGGAATCATATTGTTAGGCCTTTAATCTCAGAATAGTAGGATATCAGATCTTCTACTAGGAAGCAGAAAGCACCACATCCATCATGCACTTAAGCTCAATAGTCTACAAAACCCTTAAGCAAAGAAAAATTCTTCTTGCAGTCCTTTTCTTTCTTCCCTATTACGTGTTTATTGATTGCTTCCTGTATGCCAAGCACCGTGTTAAATACATACGATACCTAGATGAAGCTAAAAAGCGTCTGCTCTCAGAGAGCTTCCAGTACAGTTAGTATATACACAAGGTGCGACTTCATTATAGTGTGAAGTTATTTGTTTATAATGTACAGTGTTGTATGTAACATGCAGTGGGTAATAGATAGTAGAAGCATAGAGAAAAGAGCAACTAAATCTTTCTAGCTTAATTAGTCATTATTGTTGTGTTCATCTTATGCTTATAATTTTAAAAAATCATACTTTTAATGTTGAATTTAAATGTGGATAAATTGATGCAGTTTAAATTAGTTACTTATATGTTTTGGGGATAATAGGAATATTTCCTGGTTTTCAGCATCAGTTCCCTGGAATTATTTACCTTAAATAATATATAATTGACAGCTGAATTATGTATTATAGTCTATACATTGTGAATGAATATATATGTCACTATACTATATGCTTATGTGGTTCATGTTTTTAATAATTTATCTGTAGCCTGTTGAGTTTCAAGGACACCAAGTGGAAGGATCAGTTACTAGCAATGTAATGATCAGAAGACACAACTCACAGGTAGGATGCAGTCAGTTTTTGATAGCACTAAGTATGAAAATTTCAGGACAGACAACTTGTTTTTTGATGTCAAAGTTGCGTAGCCCTTGTATGCAGATTGACTTCTTGTAGGTAAAAATATTTTTATAGTTGTAATGCACCATATAATTTCCAAGTCAATATTAAAGTTTGTAACAATAGTATAGTTAAGTCTTTATACAAAATTGCGTGTTAAAAAGGAGTACAGTAAATTCACAAGAATAATAATACGTGTTAACTCAAACTAAAGAAGACAAGAATGTTGTGTTTGAAAGATTTACTGCCTTTTTAGGATCAGGAATTTAACAGCCTACTTTTCATTTCAGAGAAGACTAAGAGTTCATGATGAGCAAGTAGGTTGTTTACACATAGGAAATACTCATCTGTTTAACAACTAGATTTTTTTCTTCTAATATTTCCCCTCTCTCTGTAAGTATAACATTGAGTACCTCTTGTTGCTACCAAAGGCGAATCCATGGAGTTGAAAAGAGAGGTCATGGAGTGAGAAGGGTATGCATGTATCTGAAACAGTCTCTGTCGAAGAGATTTAAAAAATATTTCCCTTTTATTAAAGCATAATGTACATATAAAATAAGCTGGCATATGTGCACACCTCAATAATTTCCACAAAGTGAACATACCCATATAACCTCTGATCTTAAGAAACCAAGCATTACCAGTGTCCTAGAAGCTCCCTTTCTGCCCTTTCTCAATTGCTATCTCTTCCATTTTTCCAAAATATAACCACTATCTTGACTTAAAACACCATATATTAGTTTTGCTTTTGAAACTTTAAATGAATGGAATCATACACAGTACGTTCTTTGTGTCTGACTCCCTTTGTTCAACACTGCGGTTCTGAATTTCATCCATGTTCTTCCTTGTGGCTCTAGTTAATTCATTTTCTTTGCCAGTGTGGTATTCTGTTATATAAATACACACTCATTTATCCACTTTTCAGTGGTGTGGGTTGTTTGCATTTGAGGATTATTATAGATAGTGCTGCTGGGAACATTCATGTACTATCATGAACATGCACGTATACACACGACCTACCTGCTTCTGTTGGTTGGACTACCTAGGAGCAGGATTGTTGAATCATTGGATATGCATATGTTTGCTTTTGAAAGATAAAGCTAAACTGGTTTCCAAAGTGGTTTTTATAATTTATGCTTCTATCAGAAGAGTCTGAGAGTCCCCATCACTTCTATATCTTCATTAAAACTTGATGCTAGGCTCAGTGCCTGTGGCTCAAGTGGCTAAGGTGCCAGCCACATACACCTAAGGTGGTGGGTTCGAATCCAGCCCAGGCCCGCCAAAACAACAATGACAGCTGCAACCAAAAAATAGACGGGCGTTGTGGTGGGCGCCTGTGGTCCCAGCTACTTGGGAGGCTGAGGCAGGAGACTTACTTGAGCCTGGGACTTGGAGGTTGCTGTGAGCTGTGATGCCACAGCACTCTACCCAGGGGGATAGCTTGAGGCTCTGTCTCAAAAAAAGAAAAACTTGATGCTAACAGTTTTTTTTGTTGTTGTTGTTTATTTTCAACTTTAGCTCTTCTGGAAGATATGTAGTCATATTTTATTGTAGTTTTAATTTGCATTTTCCTGTCTGATAATGAGTTTGAGGTTTTTTATATGTTTATTGGCCATCTCTTTATCCTTTTTTTTTTTTTTGGCTGGGGCTGGGTTTGAACCTGCCACCTCTGGCATATGGGACTGGCGCCTTACTCTTTTGAGCCACAGGTGCCACCCTCTTTATCTTTTTTGATGAAGTGCCTGCTCAGATTTGTCTCTGATTTTTTAATTGGATGTTTATCTTTTTAAAAATTTGTTGAAATTCATTATATATTTTGGCCTGACTCTTACTTTACCTTTTTATTCTTTTTTTTTTTTTTTTAAGACAGAGTCTTACCTTGTCACCCTTGGTAGAATGCCTTGGTTTCATAGCTCACAGGAACCTCAAACTCTTTGGCTCAAGCAACGCTCTGGCCTCAGCCTCCCAAGTAGCTGGGTCTACAGGTGCCCACCATAATGCCTGGTTAGTTTTTAGAAATGAGGTCTTGCTCTTCCTCTGGCTGGTCTTGAACTCATGAGCTCAAGCAATCTACCTGCCTTGACATACCAGAGTGCTAGGATTATAAGTGTGAGCCACTGCACCTGGTCTAAACCTTTTTATTCTTTTTTTGGGACAGGGTCTTACTCTTTGGGATAGATTGCAGTGGTTTCATCATAGCTCATTGCAACCTGAAACTCCTGGGCTCAAAGGATCCTCCTGCCTCACCTTCCTGAGTAGCTAGTACAGGCAATACACCATTATGGCCAGCTAATTGTTTTATTATTTCTTTCTTTATTTTTTGCTGCTTCAGCCAAAGCTGCAGAAGGTATGGTTTATTGTATACTTGTTGTACTCAGCCACAGCTGAGAATAGAATGAGTTCACAATGTTAGGTCCAGGGCAAAGGACCAATAGGGACTGTTTTGGTGTGAGCAAATGGTCTCTCAGGGGTGGTCTTGGTAATTGGATGGTGATGAGATCTTAGATTCATTGAGAGCAAGTTCCAGACAGTAGCGTGCAGGCAAGCAGCTTGTACCCGCGTCCTCAGCCTCTGGCATCCCACATTCTCTCTTTCTTGTGGCCTTCACGAGTACACAAGGGGTGGTTTACTTGGGTCTCTGCCTCATCTTTTTCCTTTTGCACTTTAGCTTGCCCATTCGCTTCTTCCTCCGTTTGGGTTTCATGGTGAGAGGTTTCTAGAAAGACAATGTTAACTCCAAGAGCTATTTTTTATTTATTACAAAGATGTTATCTTTCTGTGTTGCTTAGGCTGGTCTTGAACTCCTGGCCTCAAGCAATACTCTTGTCTTGGCTTTCCAGAGTGCTAGAATTATAGGCTTGAACCACCAAGCCCAGCCCATAGTATAATCTTTTCCAAGACATTTAAATAGCAAAATTAGGCCAGGTGTAGTGGCTCATACCTGTAATTCTAGCACTCCAGGTGGCTGAGTGGGAGGAATGCATGAACTCAGGAGTTTGAGACCAGCCTGAGCAAGAGTAAGACTCTGTCTATACTAAAAATTAAGAATAAAAAAAGCTGGATGTTGTGGTGGCACCTATATAGTCCCAGCCACTCAGGAGGCTAGGGCAGGAGGATCACTTGAATCCAGGAATTTGAGGTAGCTATGATGACCGGATGGTACTCTAGCCTGGGCAACAGAGTGAAACTTTGTGTTGAAAAAACAACTGCAAAAGGGCAACACCCGTGGCTCAGTAAGTAGGGTGCCCACCCCATATATCAAGGGTGGCAGGTTCAAACCCAGCCCCAGCCAAACTGCAACAATGACAACAACAGCAACAAAATAGCCGGGCGTTGTGGCAGGGGCCTGTAGTCCTAGTTACTTGGGAGGCTGAGGCAAGAGAATCACCTAAGCCCAAGAGCTGGAGGTTGCTGTGAGCTGTGACGTCACAGCACTCTACCGAGAGCAACATGGGGAGACTCTGTCTCAAAAAAACCCACAAAATTACTTAGAATATTTCTAATACCAGCAATGCACAAACTTGCTGATTTTATGTGATCAATATATAAATGGTGTTGGCTAATTTGCATACATTTGCATGTAGCCAGACAGTGACAACTATGTCACAACTAACTGTTGCCTATGCTTAAAGATGTAAAAATGTTACCATTTTAGGCTCAG